TGTTATGGGGGTGTTTCTCTGCAGCAGGGACTGGAGCACTTGTCAGGATAGAAGGAAATATGGATGGGGCAAAATACCACCAAATTCTTGAGGAAAATCTGCTGCCCTCTGCCAGAAAGTTGTCAATGGGAAGAAGGTTTAACTTCCAACATGACAATGACCCAAAGCACACAGCAAAACTGAGCACACAGTGACTGAATGAGAAAAAGCTGAGTGTCCTTGCATGGCCTAAAATCTGAAAATCTGTGGAATGACTTGAAGACTGCAGTCCACAAACGCTCACCATCAAATTTAACTGAATTTCCAACTCAGTGATTCTGATTTTTTTTTCTGACATGTTGGTGTTACATCTTTCACATGGATGTTATAAGTTGCACTGAATAAATACAGCTGGATAAAACAAAATCTGTGCCTGGCATCATTTCAGGCTGCAAAACAACAAAATGTGATTATTTTAAAGGGGGTGATTCTTTTCTATACCCACTGTATGTTCAAAATGTGGCAGATTTTAAATCATGTCATTCAGGGTGGAAATACTGCCAGAATCGAACCTGCATTTCCCACATGAGCACCAAGACTTGAGCGTTAACCACTAAACCACAATTCCAACTGTCTTGTGACTCCTAATGGTACTGAAATTCAGTCTCTCACACCTAAATCACAATCTCTGCCACATGATGCCATGGCATTTCTTTTTCTCCCCACTCTTAAGTCTTTGATTCTTTGCGTCTCTCTGGTTGTGTCTTCGTAACCCTCCATCCTCTTGGGGAAGCAGTGGGTACGGCTGGCCGCTTGAGCCCTCGTGGAGGTTAATGGTGACTCGGGCTCCAGGTGTGAGTAATCAGCTGTGTGCAGTCCAGCGGGGGTCAGCGGGTACCAGCGCTCCCTCCTGGAGCCCCTCTCGCTCCCTCCCTCACCCCCCTCCTTCATCCGGCAGAGGAGTGTTAGGGCCCGGAGAGTGCCGAATGATTGCTAATAAAACATTTGATTGAGAGGAGAGCGGAGTGCCAACCATAAACAGGCTGGATTCTGCCCTTTAATTTCACCATCTCCAGAGAATTGCTTTTGCTGTGCTGCAGAGCGAGGCTTATACACAAACAGTTAGTTGTCTAGCCTAGAACTGAAGATCTAATTTTGTTCACACGAGCGTGTGTGTGTGCGCACATTCAGGCGTTTGTCTATTTTGTGTTCCTGGGGACAAAAACTAAGGGCTTTTCATTTTAAATTCTCACTGCTGTAGATGCTGCCTCAACGCTGATAAGAAAAAAACAATCATTTCATACTGCTGAGAAAATTGGCCGTAGTGCGGCTAAGATGGCAACAGCCTTTCGCGGAACACGTCGGATTCTAATTTGCTTTTTCTGTCAGGTTGAATCGTGTTGCTGAGGTGTGTGTGTGTACCTGACTGCATGCAGACGGTGTATTAATGCACCGTATGATTTACTAAATGCATTTTTTGCTGCACTCCCAGTATATAATCACCACGTTCCCCTGTAACATTCACAACAACAACAACAACTCAGAATTTCTGCATAAAATATGCTTGTGGGTGTGTGTGTGTTGGGCTCAGATGAAAGGTTAACGCAGGAGCATATATCAGACACTAGTGTGCAGTAATAAAGGGCCAGCTATAGAGCTGCTTCTCTCCTTCTGGGAACTGCGTGCATTTTTATAACCTCACTGACAGGAAGATAAAGTGCTCGTCCAATTAGAAAAATATTTGGACGCATACCTTCCTGCGAGAGTCCCTGGCTTTTTTATTCTCAAACCCATTTTATATGGAAACTTGGGTATTTTGGTTGTTTGTTTTTTGCTCCACGAATGCGGCACGTGTGTTTTTGCCCTCACAGCATGTGTGCCGTGTTTCTCGCTTTAGAGGAGAATGTTCGCATGCATCCAGTTTTTGTAAGGGCTACGGTTGCAGATATTGCAATGCCTGCACTTCACGCTCACATATGCACCCTGATTAATTTTTCACCCTCGTCCATATTCTTTCCTCCTTCTTTTAAGAATAGATGCATTTTGGGGGGCTTTTCTTACAGAGTGCATTAAAATTAAATTCTCTCTTGTTGTTGTGAAAGAGGCGCACGTTAAAAATAATTGGATGAGGGAGAGAACAAAGGGCTGCCTCTCCCTTGCGTGGCTGCATGGCCCAGCGAGGCGTTAATGCCGCGCCCGCCGCATTGTTCGGCTGTCTGCAGCCATCTCCCCAGCCAGACACTCAGCGCTGCTCAAGTCACTTTTAATGTCTGATAATCAAGGTGAATTTTCAAAAAGCTGCCATTTTCAAATGATGGTGTATATACTATGTGGAGATGGGGATTTTGAGAGAGGGGAGGGGCCGGCGGTGGGCGGCAGACGGAATGAGGGCCATGCACAGTGAAAGAGAGACACCTACTGGTTGCGGGCGTAACTGCCGGGGCACTGTGCAGGGGGTTTGACGGTTGCATGACAGATGTGTGATTGGCTTGCATGTAAATCGTGTAGCTTACGTGGAAGCGACGGTGGAACATGGCACTCCGAGAATTGCGGTTTCTTTATTAACTGTATTATTTGTGGTACAGAGCAGTGAAAGACAGCCAGAATATATGCATATGAATAATACACCATAATGTGCTTTTAAAAAAAATCTAATTGTTTGCATTAGTTAATGCATTATTTAATGCATTCGCTATCAGGTAGA